GAGTGCCCTCCCACCTTCCAGTCCTATATCTGACAATGTTTCTCCGCTATGCATAGAGTTTTCAGTGACTAGCGATTCGGAAGTAGTTTGTCACTCTTCCTAGTCTGTCTTTGTTTTGTAGCTCATCTGAAACCTTTCCACCATGGGTGACCCTGATTGTTTCTCTAGCAGATGAATATTGAGAGGTTGTCTTCAAGCTCACTAATTAGAGCTTCCATTGATTCAATTCTAATTATTTGCCCTTTCAATGTATTGTTTATTTCTGAAATCTTAGTAATAATCTTCTGACTTTCTAATGGCTATTTTTGTATGGTTTCCAATATTTCACTTATTTTGTGAATTTGTTCTTACAGTGTTTTCCTGAATTCCAAAGTTTTGTCTCTTTTCCTTGGTTTCATCTGCAGTTTTCTTAATCATCTCAACCTATTAAATGGACCTAAATATCATTCTTTAAAATTTCCCATCAAGTAACTCTGACACCATTTCTGGTATTATATTTTCTCTTTATTTTGGTCACTTGTATGAGGTACTCTGACTTGCTTCTTCCTGGAAGCTGAAATTGTGTGTTTTCTCTGAGACATTGTGATGTTATTGTATTTATATTTCATTGACAATTACATGTTGGTGTGTTCTCAGGCACTCAACACTTGTCTCTGGGTGGATGTGATAGAGTCTGGAAGTGTGACTACAGCTTTCTGTTCACTGTTTGTGTGGCATAGTTCAGGGTGGGTTCACACACCTCCAGATGCGGGGCTCTGACCCCCAGTAGAGCTGAGGCTCCACAGAATGTGGTGTTACTGATCTCTGGATTAGCAAGGGTGGGGATAGGCCATGCCCCTGGCTACCAGCAGGACTTGGAAAACAAGGAAGAACTGCATCCACTTGCTGCCAACCCCATCCATGTCCTGTGCCTCCAGGCTGCCCGCAACTGCCCGCAAAAGCTCAAGATGGGTGTTCCACTCCGGACTAGCTGAGAGCCCACCCATTTTCCTTGTCTTTCATTGCACCTGTTCAGCTTCCTCTTCCAGTTGACACTCAGTCCTCTTCTGTGTCCTATCCTCTGAAACTCAGGGTTCCAGGATCACCATCCATATTGTCCTCACTTGTTCTTCCATATCTTTGTTGCAGAGGGGCTGTCTGCTCAGCATATCTACCCAAGCTTCCATCTTGCCCCAGAAGTCCCAAAGGGGAACTCTTGATAGATTATCTCGCAGGATGCAGGAAAACCATGGTGGCTTACTATAAAGAAGTTTTAAGAAAATTGAAATTGCATTGGAGGAATTCTTTTTTCATTAGAACAATGAACCTGCTAGTTTTTGAGGGTAGGAAGGGCTGCCCTGTGAAAATTTCTTTCGGAATCCTTACCTCATCCATCCTACAGTGCTGATCTAGTCTCTTCAGACTTCTTTCTGTTCCTCACACTCAAAGAACATTTAAAAGGAATATGATCTGAGTCCCTCAAGAATGCCAAAACTGTCATTTTGATGTAGTGTGAATTGAAAATTACAGAATTCTTAAGGCAAGGGTAAGAAATATGTAAACACTGCATTCACCGATGACTAGACCTAGACGGAGGATATGTCGGGAAACCATAGCTTCATATTTTGATATTTTTGTTTAATAAAGGTTTCTACAATTTTGTAGCAATACTTTTGTGTGGTCATTGCAGTGACTTTTCAAACCCAGCAGTGAAGTAGGAAGTGCTGTGGGAGGAATGGTTTAGTGTTCGTTTTTTACAGTGTATCTCTGCAAACGTGTGTTTGGTTGTGTCTGGTATGTGTATGTGTGTCTGTGTTTCTGTGTGTGGTTGTGTCTGTGTGTGTATATGTGTGTGTGGTTGTGTCTGGTATGTTTGTGTGTCTCTGTGTGTGGTTGTGTCTGTGTGTGCATAGTATGTGTGGTTGTGTCTTTGTGTGTGTCCCTGAATACATGTGTGGGTGTATCTGGTATGTGAGTGGGTGTGAATTTGTATCTGTGCATAGTTGTATCTGTGAATATGTGTGTCTATGAATACCTGTATGTGGTTGTCTGTGACTATGCGAGTGTGATTGTGTCTGGTGTGTGTGTCTGTGTGCGACTGTGTTTGTGTCTGGTCTGTCTCTGCATGCCTGTGGTTTTCCTTTCCAATAAGTCTGCTGCCTGGAATGTCCGAATCACCAGGAACAGAAGCCAGAATCAGATTCTCAGTCTTTGAGCTGAGTTGCTGGCTGACCCTCTCATGGAGATGAGTCCAGGGGCTCTGGGTGGTGGGAGCTTGGTGGGAGCTACAGGGGGACTATGGTGATGTGATGGTAGGGGCATCTTATATCTTTCTCTATCCTGCTTGAGGGAGGCCACATGCTCACAGCAGAGTCTCAGCCTCTGTACCCTTCTGCAGCCTAGGGAGGAGTCAGAGGAGCCTTGGCTGTGGGAGGAACTGGGCGTCTGGTCACCTCCTCCACCCGCTGGTCTCTGCTCTCCTCTGGCTATTTCCTGCCAAGGATGGGGCCCTTTGCTGTTCATGTGGGATTCACTGGCCCTAAGTGGAAAAAACAGAGGATGTGGCAGGCACTGAGACACTCCATGGTATCTGTCCATCCTAGGTCAGCGACCCAAGGGGCCCTGATGCCTCCCAGGTGGCTCTCCCTCAGCATGCACCCAGGGATGGCAGCACCAGGGCCTGAGCAGACCACTGGGTTTGCAACCCTTTTGGACCTCTGTACGAGCCTGCAGCCAGGGAATCGGGAGGGCAGGCCCTCCATGGAATTTAGGGTGACCTGGCTAAGGCAGAGGTGTAGGTCAGGAGCTCCTGACTGTGGCCAGCTCTGAGGCTGATCCTGCTTCCCTCCCATACACTCTGCATTTGGAATGGATCCCCCAGACCCAAAGGGCACGCCTAAGCCTCCCTCTATGGTCAGAGACACCAAGGAATCAAAGAGAGAAAGAATGTAGTGTCAGAAAGAGACAGAGGCAGCAAGAAGGTTAGGGAGAGAGGGACACTCGCTGGGTAGCAGGAGATGCATACAGGATAAAGGGTAACCACAGCCCTAATCAAAGCCAGTTAGAGAAACACAGGGACAGCCAGGCCTGAGACCGCCAGACCCAGACCGGGAGGGGTTTGTTTTTCCAGAATGAAAGTCCCAGGGAGGGGCTGGTCCAGATTCCAGTTTGGAAAAGGAGCTCCGCCCTCAGGCGAATCCTGCTGGGGAAATGGGTCCATTAGTTAGGTCCTGGGAGGGGTACTTCTCTGTGTGCTCTGACCGGTCCTCTCTGTTGTCACACCTCAATCTCTCTCACTGCAGATGCTACTGCCTTCCGTTTGCCAAAGAAAAGTTGGACTGGAGACTTGGGGAGCCGGGCAGGGTCCCAGGGGCGAGACCCCAGCTGAGCAGAGACTGGGGCCTGTGGTATAAATTAAATCCAAACAGGCAGTTTAAAAAATGCACTGAGGATTTTTTGTGGTTGTTTGGGATTTTTTTTTCCTTTTTCCTTTTCTTCTTCTTGAGGTTTGCTTAACTAGAAGGAGTGGGTTTGGGACACAGTGTGAGCTCTGTTATTTTGCATTTGTTTATGGTACTTTGTAAGTTTTCCCAGAGCTTCAAATTTGTGCCTTCCGTTGGTGGGGGCAGGGAATGGGACTCTTATTCCCTCCCTCCTCCCCTCTTCTCTGGGAGGACTCCTATGCTTTCTTTTTCCTCCCTTCTCTGGAATGAAGGATACTACACCCCCCTCCCTTCTCCTTCCCTTTCTGGCTGGAGGAGTCCCCAATATCTGGGAGGGGCTGTCAGTCTCTAAGAGTGGGGTTTACATAGATGGTTTGGGGGTTCCCCTTCCCCCTCTCCCTTCTTCCTTTTCTGGGTGGGGTGAGAGCTCTCAGGAGTCCTGTAACTTGGGGTCTAGTTTCAGGAAAGCCAGGCTGGGCCCAGTATGGGGGAGGCCCAGCCCGGAAGGAAGGGGGCTGCTCCTTGGGCAATGCTCACATCTCTGCAGCATCTGTGCCCTTCCTGGCACATCCCCCATTCCTACCCACCCAGCCCAATAGGGCAGGTGCCACTCCCATCTCCACTTTCCAGCTGAAGGAGCTGCCACAGCTAACAGTCAGAACCAGAGCGGGAAGAGCCTCTGTCTGGCAGGGGTGTGTTGGGGTGCAGTCAAATGCAGCACTGACTCCCTGGGGGTCCCTGTTTGAGACATCTTTCTGATGGGTGTGGTGAGGACCCCGCCCAGCCGCCACCACACTGCTGACCTGGGACTGTCTTGGCTCCACTACAGGCTTGGGGTTTGAGGCTGCCCCCCCCCCCCCCCCCCCCCCCCGGCAGAGGTGGACAGAGGGGCTTCGCCACAGAGCCCAGCCCTGAAACTGCCCAGGAGTTCTAGGCCAGTCCTTCCTGCTCCTCCAGGGCTGGATTCCTTCCCGTCCATCTCTCAGAACTTGAGCCAGAGAAGGGGGCCAGGCCCTGCTCGGACAGTCCCCCACCCCCACTGAGTCAGCTGTGGATGGGGGAGGCTGAGAGGCCAGGGCGGAGCCAGAGGGGTGGTCTGGTCTTGGTTGTTTGGGCCCAGGGCTCCGTGATGTCATAGCGGGTGCTGAAGGGGGGAGGGGGCCGGGCTGTTTTTCTGGAGTTAGAGCCGGAAGAGACAAAGCGAAGCCAGAGGGCCAGTAGCGCCATGGAGCTGCTGTCCCGAGTCCTGCTCTGGAAACTTATACTTCTGCAGGGTGAGTGCTCAGTGGATGGGAGTCAGGGCTCATGGGGTGTATGTGTGAGGGGGCTCAGGGGACAACCTGCTTCAGGGCAAGTGGTCTGTCTGAGTGAGTTCATTTTTCAGGAGTTTTGAGCAAAAGTGTCTGCCTGAGCTGGAACCAGGAGGAGGCCAGACACCCAGGTCTGGAGTTGGAGGCTCCGAGGGAAGAGCTCACAGGGAGACCTAGTGCCTAAGGAGCAGGGGTCCCTAAGTTAGACCTCCAGAACTTCTCTTCCAGGGATGAGTGGCTCAGAGGCTCTGGGGGACAAATGGGTCAGGAAGGATGAGGCAGAGATGGCTCCCTCCTCCAGGCGACAGTATATCCTGCATTTTGTGGGTGTGCTCAGAGGACCCTTGGGTGAATACCTTTCCCAGTGGAGGGAGGTGGTGATTGTAAGGAGGGAGATGGGTTTGAGGACAGGGGGAGCTCAAAGGGTCTGCAGGAGAGGGAGGCTGGGAAGCTGCACTCACAGGCTTACGGAGTCCTCCCTACTGGCCGCTGACCCGGCACATTCCTCCTGCCTGGGCACTCAGCCACATCTTGAGCAGAGTTTGGACTGTGATAGGTCAGTCCCCACCTCTGCAGCCTTGAGTCACCCCAGGGTGGTCTTGTGTCTGAGGAGCCCTTGGCAGGTTCATGTCTCCCACTGGAAGGTATGCAGAAACATGGGAATGAAGTTCCCAGAACCAGCCCTAAAGCACATTATGGTATCAGGCTTGGTAGCCTTGAGTGGCCATGATGGTGATGGTGACCACTGTCTCTGAGAAGTGTCCTATGGACCAACCTGCAGGGTGTCTAGTCTTGACTGCACTACTCATCTGATGGGCAATTTCCACACCAGTGTGATGCTGTAGCACTGGAACACAAGGTGGGTTGGAACCACACAGTTGGTGGTTCAAACTCACCAGGTGTTCCTTAGAAACCCTATACAAGGGTCTCTATGAGTAGGAACCAACTCATTGGCACTTAACAACAACAGCCTCTTAAAGAGCAGTCACCCTCCCCACAGCCTGACTTCTCCACTTGACCCCTCCCCCCAATCTGGAAAGTGGATGTCTCATACTCTCTCATTAAGGGTTATGTATGGAAGTGGCCCAGGGGCCCATGTGGGGCCTCATCAGACACAGGGCCCAGGAGTCTCCTCTGAGGTCTCTAACTCTCCTCCCTCTCTTTTCAGGTACTGCTGTCCTGGTATCCTCAGGTTAGTGACCTGCTGTGGGGGCCAGAACTCCCGCCCTTTCCTGTCTTGGTGACCCTCTTCCTACTCCCCCACGGACTTGCCCCCTTCCTCCAGGGTCCTCAGGGCTGGCGACCGCTGGCAGCTCCGTGGTATCCGAGGCAGTCGTGAGCTGGGCGGCAGGCACTGGGGCCGTGCTGCGCTGCCAGAGCCCGCGCATGGTGTGGACCCAAGACCGGCTGCACGACCGCCAGCGTGTGGTCCACTGGGACCTCAGCGGCGGCAGCCACGGCCCCGCGCGGCGGCTCGTGGACATGTACTCAGCAGGCGATCAGCGCGTGTACGAGCCGCGCGACCGTGGCCGCCTCTTCCTGTCGCTTTCGGCTTTCCATGATGGCAACTTTTCGCTGCTCATCCGTGGTATGCCCGGGGCGTGGGGCTCAGTAACCTTAGAGTACGGGGCGCGGGGTTACAGAGCTCAGGGCTAAGATCTTCTCTGGGTCGGCAGCGGCGGAGGAGACAGACGCTGGTCTGTACACCTGTAACCTACACCATCATTACTGCCACCTCTACGAGAGCCTAGCCATCCGCCTGGAGGTCACTGATGACCGTGAGTGCTCTGTCCCGACCTCCTGACTGTCCCACCCTCACTCCACCCACCACCCCGGCCTCCTGTGGCCAGGACCAGACTATGCTCATCCTCCTCCCACGCACATCCTGCTATCTGGCCGCCCCCCCTTCTTAGACCCTACCCCTCAACGAGGAAACCCCTCAGCACCCTCGCCCTGCCCCCATTCACTCCCACCACCCGGGCTGCCCCGCCCCGCCCTCTGCTCTGACTGCCCCCGCCCCGCCCCCAGCCCTGGCCGCTGGTGCGCACTGGGACGGTGAGAAGGAGGTGCTGGCGGTGGTGCGCGGTGCGCCAGCGTTGCTGACTTGCGTGAACCGCGCGCACGTGTGGACTGATCGGCACCTGGAGGAGGCGCAGCAGGTGGTGCACTGGGACCGGCAACCGCCCGGGGTGCCGCACGACCGTGCAGACCGCCTGCTCGACCTATACGCATCAGGCGAGCGCCGCGCCTACGGGCCGCCCTTCCTGCGCGACCGTGTGACCGTGGGGGCGGATGCCTTTGCGCGTGGTGACTTCTCGCTGCGTATCGACCCTCTGGAACCTGCTGATGAGGGCACCTACTCCTGTCACCTGCACCACCACTACTGCGGGCTGCATGAGCGCCGCGTTTTCCACCTGAAGGTCACCGAGCCCCCAGTCGTGCAGCCTAGTCCCAGGGACTCGCCAGTCAACAGGTCCAGCTATGGCAGCGCGCCGGACTCAGGTGAGAAGTGGCCCTGGGGCCCTTGAGAATGGGTCAGGGCCGAGCAGGAGGACGTGTGTTTCATGGAGCCAGCCTGGCTGCCTTACCTGTCTTGATCGTGTCCCACCATTCAAGGTCCCCACTGGCTGAGTCTGATTTCAGCCCAACCCGCAGGAGCCCTGCAGGGCCGGGGGTGGGGGACCCCATCAGGTCAGGTAGGGGTACACTGCCTGACCAGCCCCACTCTGTCCCTCCCAGACCCCACGCTGTCACGCGGTGGTAGTGTCATCAATGTCATTGTCCCTGAGGGCCGCGCCCACTTCTTCCAGCAGTTGGGCTACGTGCTGGCCACGCTGCTGCTCTTCATCCTACTGCTCATCACTGTCGTGCTGGCTACCCGTAAGCGTCGCCACCGTGGAGGTGAGGGCTGGGCCCACTGGTGCCCGCCCACAGGTGGGGACTCAGCGCATAGGGCACCCCTTCCAATGAGTCCAGGCAGAGGATGGAGTTTAGCACTAGGAAGAACCACCAGAGTTGGGTCTGTGGGGGTGCAGTGACCTGTGTGTTGAGGAGGAACCCAACAAGGGCCCAAAGGGGCCCAGGGGCCAGCCAGGGGTTTCCTCAGGTAGGTGAGGAGGGGCTCAGGGCTCTGAGCTACATACAATACAAGTCTCCCTCCCAGGATACGATTACTCAGACAAGAAGTCGGGGAAGGCAAAAAGGTGAGTGTCTTCTGCCTACCTGATTCTCCTGAGGGTCCAGCCCCTCTCTACCCCTTCCCTAACCTTTCCCATTGTCCTCCTCCAGGAAAGATGTGAACATGGCAGAGTTGGCTCTGACCTCAGGAGACCAGGCTCTTTCCAGGGGCGAGGACATTCAACTAGGTGAGGTGGGCCTCAGGCCTGGGCTTGGGGGCACCTTGTCTTAGGCGCCTGTTCACCTCGCTTTCCTGGTGACAGATTACAAAAACAACATTTTGAAGGAGAAGGCTGAACTGGCCCACAGCCCCTTGCCCGCCAAGAATATTGACCTAGACAAAGGTGAGTGGCTGAGGGGTGTCCCTGTGCCCTCATTCCATCTCAGAATCCAGTCTCTACCCCTGCATCCCATTCCATCCACTCCTAGGGGCTTCAAAAGTTACTGCACCCAGCTCCGTGTTTTTGCTGGATGTTCGCCCTGAATTTCCCAGGGAGAGTGGGGAAGAACACAGATACAGCCATGCCTGTTGATTTTCAGAGTTTAGAAAGGAGTACTGCAAATGAAGCGATCTGAGCTCCTGGCTGGGTCAGCAGCTCTGCCATCTCCTATCCATCCATCTTGGAGGACGTCCTCCTGACCCCATGTGCTTGGTACCTCCGGCCTTCCTCCAGCGGCTGGTCCCGCTTTCCTGGAATTTGGCCTGAACGGGTACAGAGCAGGCTGTCTCCTTACCCATCTCCCTGAATCCACCCCAGTCCTCTCAAGCAAGAGTGGGCTCCATGGAACTCCTGGATGGCACTGTGGCCACTGTCCCTTCAGCCAGCCCCTGCTGGATCCTGGGTTCACTTGTGACCCTGTTTCTTCCCCTCATGCCACTGCCCTTGGATCAGCCATGGTTCTGCAGTGTTGACCAAGCCTTCAATCCCCCTGATCTTTGCCCGCTGGGGGATAATGTTGTGGGACATTCTTGGAGGGGACTTAGCAGAGGCATGATGATGTATCCTTTCTAGGTGTCACCTTTGTAGTCTGAGCTCCCCTGGGCTCTTCTAGACCCACCGTGAGTCATTCCAAGTCCCATCTGGGCTGCAATCTACTCTGCCCTGGACATAGGCCTGAAGAGTTGACATCCTCTAGGTCTATGGCTAATGGGCCTCTGCCCTGCTTGGGGCCACCTGGGGAGCCCCTTTACCCTTTTTCTGCTTTTTGACTCCCTGCCTCAGCCTTGTTTCCAGCCCACTGCCTTGACAGTCACCAGGCTCCGTGTGATTTCTGACTCTGACCACCATCCCATACCCCTCCCTGGGCTGGAGGCTAGAGTCACGTTTGGCTCTTCTGCTTCTGGCTGAGGACAAGGGAGTAAGTACGATTCTAGGTGGCCTCTGCTGCCACTGACTCTCCACGTTTGCTCCTGCTGGGGAATTGCCGCTGTCACAATAAAGACCACATCTGATTTTTAAAACCTGGCCCAGGCATGCCTCTTTAACTCCCCTTCTCCCAGGGAGGGAGTCAAATTGGCCCTGGGAGCCCCAGATGCCTTCTTCACCTTCATCTGAACTTCTCCCTCACCTTGTTCGTTAGAGTGGAAGTACCCCGGGAAGGGTGACTGTGGAAACAATTCTACATCGCTTGTTCCTGGTTGCAGAGGCATTTCAAATCCTCTGGCGACTTATGTGGACATAGGGGAAGGGACCAGATGGGTAGGAGAACAGAGAGAGGAGATGGTGTTAATCTGAGCAGATGCCAAGATGGGATAAGGCTAAAATTAGTTAAGACTAAGATATGCAAAGGATAAAGTGGAAGAGGAAGCAGGAGTAGGCAAGAAAGCCTTCAGACCAGGATGCAGGTCTGACACTTTTGAAAGGTGAGGGGAAGGAGGACTGGGCAGGAGTAGCCTCGAATCACAAGGCAACTCTGAGAAAGTCCCACCAGGTCAGCAGGGGCTCTTTGACCAAGGCCACTAGACTGGGCTGGCTTGCGTACCTTGGTTGCTCATTTGTGGAGAGCAGGCTGTGTAGCACCAAAGTTGGGTGGAGCCAGGGATAGCAGCTGGGTAGCAGGAAAGCTGAGTGGCACATTTTCTTGGCTACCACAGACCAATAACTAAGTGCTAGTTAGTGAAGCCTGTGACTCTCCATCCCTGACCCACCCTCTGAGGCCCTCCCAGGGCAGCAGAGACAGGGAAAGAGATGGACACCCACTAGGATGCCAAGGCAGCAAAGGCTGGGAAGGAATTCAAAGCTGGATTCTTTGGCCTTTTTGAGGAGGGGCCTTCCTCCCAGCTCAGTGACCTCTGGTCCCACCGGTGGCTACACTGTCACTGAGCAAGGCCTCCTGTAACAATGTATGCTTTGGCCACAAACTCAACTTCTCTTGGCAGAGCAAGACCTGATCATGACCAGTGTCAGTGCCGGGATGCGTTCCAAGCCTTTGTCCACTCGCTTTCCAGCTCACTGTGGCTTGGACTGAGTGTCAGATGGGAGAGGAAGAGTCTGGGGGTCTGAGGCAGCCTGGGGCTTCAGGCTGCTGCATTTGTTTGCTGTCACTAACTCCTCTGACCAGCAGCCACCTGGACCTGTCCTGGGTTGATACCCATTCCCAGATCAACTTCCAAGGCAGAGACTGTCTTCCAGCACACTGTCATAGCAGAAACTTCTCTGAAGTCACCCTACCTGGCTTCCTCAGTTTGCTTTTCTGGAGAAAACAAGATTGGAGGGGAGAGGGTCCAGGCTCAGGGCCCAGCGAGAGTATGTGACTGAGCTGGCTGAGACTTTGCTGAATGAACATGTAGCAGACCCCTGCCCACTGTCCCCATCTTAACAGAGAGGATGGGGGTCATGACCTTCAGCCTCATTACAACAGGGGGTGGTCCCCAGACTGGGCTGAGGCACTTATGGTCACCCTGGGGCCCCTTTGGCCAGTGCTGGCTCAAAGCCCAGGATTAACATGACCAGTCAGGTGGGAGGTGCCAGACTCCTGTCAGCCGTGATGATGGATCACAGGGACATTAAACATGTCACCTTCATTTGGGCAGCATCCTAGCGCCCTCTCCCACTAGCATGGGGTCTCCCTGTTGTGGCCTCAAGTCTCCTTTCCCCTGGGGAGGACCCTGAGGCCAGTTCGAATTTCAGCTGCTAGGATGCAATCCATTTACTCGCTGCTGCTGCAGCTGCTGTAAGCACCATCTTAGGAGACCTCTATTCACAGGAATGCACAGCTGCCTACCTGTCATCTCAAGTTACACATGCATACCGCATCTACTTGGCACTCATGTCTACCTACAGTTGGTGTTTCTCAGATCCCCCGTGGGACCCCGCAGAGGGCAGCCTGAGCACAGAGCTGGCTTGGGGAGGGTGCTAGAGTGACAAGTCACCCCCAGGTCCGGGCCCGTACAAAAAGTATTCTTAGCATCTTCCAGATGTCCCTCACAGCCCACTGATGTGACCAGGCACCTCCGGATCTTGAGCACTCTCGCACATTGCGGGCAAAGGGATGGAGGACTCGGCCTCCGCAACGGAAAACTCTTCCTGGCGCGGGGTGGGGTGTGGCGTCGCGAGGTCCAATTGCTGGGTCTCCCTCAGACAGCTGGAATGCGACGTGCAGGTGGGGAGCAGGGACGGGGCCTACCAAGGCCCACCCACCTGTCCTGGGGTAAAGGCACTCCCTAGCCAGCCCCAGGGCCCACAACCCAAGGATACCCGGGGAAAACAGTCGAATCGGACTGTCCCCGCAAGCTCGCGACGACGCGCACGCACAGGAGCGTGCGTAGCCCGTGTCCCGCCCCCTATGACATCACGGCACCGCCCCCTCTCCCGGGCGCCCCCCGGCGGCCGCGCGC